AAGCCCGCCCTGACAATTTGATTGGATCGCCTGACAGTGGGCGATAATACTCGCGCTACTATGGAGCAGAGCCAGACCGAACTTCCCGACCTCAAACTTTGTGGGCGGGACTAAGTTCGGAATGGCACCCAGGCTAGGTTTGGGCTGATGTTCACCGCTGAATCATAAATTCACAAATATTTCTCCGTTCTTTATGGAATAAAAAGAAATTAAACTTTAAAACTAAAAATAGTTATTCAAAAAAAAGTTAAATTACTGAACAATAAAGAGTAAAACGAGGATTTTATGTGCAAATTCACTCTGATTTTTTTTGTGAATTGACTGTTTTAATTGAAAATAGCTGCATTTAGTGTTATATCCTAGGTTAGCCATGTTCACACCCAAATTGGGTCAGCAGGGCCGCTGTCCTGCAGCTTTCCTGCTTCAGCACAGCTGAATGTGATGATTAAAGTTCAGCAAAAGTCTGTTAATCAGCTGTCAATGAAAATCAGATGTGCTGAAAACCTGCAGGATGCCGACCCTGGAGGACATTCATCAACATTTGATTTATTTTATTTTATATCAGCATCTCTGGAGTGAAACTGCGTGTGAAGATGATGGGAAGTTCTCAGGAATTGAACCAGCAGCACGCGGGCTACTTTCTATGTTGCGTATTTCAAATTTGGTTATTAGCAAAGAGATGATATTTTAAAATTTAATAAAAGCTTTGATTTAAATGAATAATTAGAGGAGCCATCCTGAAACCAGGGACTAACTGAGATATGCTGCAGCCTCATAATGAACGGTGGAGGAGTGAGATTCTGAGCACCGAACCTTAAGGAGGCCCGCATGTGAGCAAACACCCAGTTATTAATGATTAAAACTGGATAAACAAGAGGCCTGATCTACAACAAAGAGTAAAAGCTGTCTGTGAGGCGCATAGAAAGAATGTTTCCCTCTTATCTAAACATTGCGAGCATGAAACCCGTCTGACCAGAAACGGGGGACGGCATGAACGGAATATTTGAACAGCCGATATGGTAGGCGGCGAGATGCACCCAAACGTGAAGATGTAATCTGCCACTGAACTTAAAGCAGAAAGAAAAAGGTCTGTTTGTCAGTATGAGTACTCGTACTAACCCTAACTAACTAACCCTAACTAACCCTAACTAACTAACCCTAACCCTCGTGTGTTCGTGAAACGTCATTAGCCTCAGCGCCGATCTGATTTACAGGAACATAAGACTGAGTCCGCGGTTACAGGCGTCCTGCCACTGGAGGACATGCTGTGAAAAACGCCCAGAAGAGACACATGATTGACTGCTGGGTTGGCGGTCCAGCACCCACCCCTGCCTTTGAGCAGAAGACAGGCCTCTGCTCTTGCTATTTTTAAGACTCATCTTTTTTCTTTGGCTTTTCACACAATTTGAGAGGTTTCACTTTGTTCTATTCTGTTTGTGCACTAATATGTATTTTATACTCGATCCTTTCTATTTTATAATTGCATTGTATTTTAGGATTGTGTACAGCACTTTGGTCCTGTCCTGTCGGTGTATAAAGTGCTTCATAAATAAAGTTGGTATGGTATGGCAGCGGTTTGGGTTTTATCTGCCAAAGGTTTGCAATAACAGCAGCTAAAGTCCAGACCGGATGGAGAATGAAGGTATCAAACTGAAGCTACGGAGTATTAGCATTGGTTGGTCTGTTCCTTCCATCACAGTTCCCCGGACCAACAGAGCTCCTTCTACTCTGGGATTGCAAATGGAAGAGAACTTCAAAGTTACTAAAGCATGTTTCTCTGTTGACGGTGCCTCTTTAACATAAATCAAGCCAAGGGATCAAAGTTGGAGCAAAACGCCACCAAAGACATGCAGAGCCGTAGCTCTGAATACTGCTGCAGTAATGGACTCCTTTTGGTTCGATACCGACGCAGAACATGGGAAACTGTAGCTGTTCTTGTTCAGGGTTAGGGTTAGGCAGGGGGAACGCTATCTGACGGGTTTATAGGCTGTCAGATGGCGTTCCCCCCGTGTTAAGCAGGGGGAACGCCATCTGACGGGGTTTATAGGCCCGTCAGATAGCGTTCCCCCCTGATGTCATTTACGTTGAGTAGCAATAAATGCTAAACTCTCTGCAGGTTCTTGTCTTTGTCGTCCGCTCTATTCAGCTGGCTTTGAAACACACGGCGGAAGGTGGTGGCTGGGTGGTGAGGGTTACGGGGGCGAGAAACGCAAAAGTAACACAATAGTTTCTTTTGCTAGTAACTAGTAACTTTTATTGTGGAGTAACTCAGTTAGTAACTCAGTTACTTTATGGGAGAAGTAACTAGTAACTATAACTAACTACTTTTTTCAAAGTAACGTGCCCAGCACTGCTGGTAACCAATAGGCAGAGATGGCAAAAGTACTG